AAGTTGAGCTGGAAACGACATTGCGGGATCGGGCGAGGCTATAAAATGAACAGTAGCACTGCCTTGAAGCACAATATCTCAATTCGGTTTCCTCTACGAATCAAAAAAAAATGAGTCTGTAATTGTAATTCTTGTTCATGTTCAATAATAATAAAAGATAATGTCATAAATGGCAGTAGTGGTATTGATGCTAATGGTACTCATTATCCAGTACACGATCCAAAATTACCGAAGAATGAATAACAATTAATCTCGATTCTTGAAAAATCGCAGATTAATTGGTGATTCCGATTATTTTTCTTTCGTAGAGGAAGCCGAATTGAGATATTGTGCTTCAAGGCAGTGCTACTGTTCATTTTACAGCCTCGCTCGATCCCGCAACGTCGTTTCTAGCTCAACTTAGTTTTAAGCATCAATTTTGAAAAATATTTCAATTAATTTCTAGGTCTACAGTAGCCAATCATTCCTAATTAAACAACGATTCGAAATTATAAACAGTGTACAAAGTATGCGAAAAGAACAAAAACTATATTCCAAATTGAGACCACATTTTATTTGTATAACAAAATGAGAAAATACATGCATTCCAAATTGAGACCGCTTTTTCTACTATAAAATTTTCATTTCCAAAATGAGACCACTTTTTAAATCTGATTAATAATCATCCAAAAACAGTGGTCTCAATCATGAAGTAGCCCTTGTTGTATATATATATATTCTTCTTCTTTATACTGTCCAGTAATTAATGTTCTGTTAAATTGCTATATATTCTTCTTGAATATATTTTCTTTAATTTAAACTTCTTTAATTGATTTGGTGATCAAAAGTCTTATTTTTTGGTGATCATTTTACTGCTAATAATTTGGTGATCAAAAGTCACTGTTTTGGTGATCAAAAAAATTGATACCCTTACAATACGGTCACACTACAGCCTTAATCACGATTAAGTTAATTACGATTAATTCGCTAATCATGATGAACTTTATGCATAATTAAAAAATGAATAGTGTAATCACGATTAGTGTTAAGCACGAATACATTGTTGATGCATGGGGAAAATTTCAAAAAAATTAATATATTTTAATATGTCTGACATACTGCTGGTTTATTTAAAAAAACTATTTTTTAGCCATTTTAAATAAAATAAAATTTGTTTAGATTCTAGATATGCTTCCACCAATAGTAGTCTACATAGTCATTTACTGAACGTGCGCCTCAGAAGACTGATGTTTGAACAGATGTTATTCAAATAATATAGAATAAAACTTTAAATAAGGTATGATCCTAAAAGATGCTCGATTAAACATAGCTGCTTCCTATTCAAATGCTGGAAAATAAGCATATCTTGGAGTTAATACATCAGCCATAAAATGAAGTGTGCCAGCCAAACCTAAAAGGATTAACATAATGAATCTAACAATAATAACAGTGGTTATTCAAGCAATTCTAATAAGAGGAAAATAGTGCATATTAGTTCAAAGTTAGAGGCTAGAATTGCTGTCGAATACGCAATCCACTGGTGATCTTAGTATTCTTGATATTGACTTCAATGTAAAAGTTCTAGAAAATTGGTTTTTCAAGCAAAACAATTAAAATTTATCGCTTTCAGAAGAGACTTTCAATCGTTTCGCTTCAATTCGAGGTAATTTTGGTACTTCTATCAGTATGTTATATGCTGATACTTGGCTTCTTGAAGACTTATATAAGACCTTAATAGACATCTAGAAGTGATGGAAACTTACGTCATCGATCCTCTCCGATGATCATGGTAACATTGGTTTATGCATAACAGTTTCGATAATAGAGAATGAGAAAGTCGTTTTTCAGTATCATGAAATCTTGAAATTATCACTTAAGATAACTTATTTCTGGAACAGAAACCGATGTTACCATGATCATCGGAGAGGATCAATAACCCAAGTTTCCATCATTTCTAGATGTCAATAAAGAAGTCCTCAAGAAGCCAAGTATCAGCATGTAACATACTGATAGAAGTACCAAAATTACCTCGAATTGAAGCGAAACGATTGAAAGTCTCTTCTGAAAGCGATAAATGTTAATTGTTTTGCTTGAAAAACCAATTTTCTAGAACTTTTGCATTGAAGTCAATATCAAGAATACTAAGGTCACCAGTGAATTGCGCATGTTCGATAGCAGCTCTAGCTAGGTATGCACCGGTATCGGTATTTCGATATGAATACCGATACCGAAGTTCGGTATATACCGATATTGAAGACATCAAAAGGTTTTCGGACAAAATGCTCTCTATTTGCGGATATGGTACTAAAGAATTATAGCGTTTCATAAAAAGTTTTTCCTCTATTCTGGTACCTTTATGTTCGGGTATAGAAAATTACTAGTTGCTTCTTCACTTAGAGAAGGAAGTGCCATAGCTTTAGCTTTTGCGCATCGGTAGCCATTAATTATTCTATTAAATGGAGAGCTTTTATTATATCAACGATGTTTTTCTCGATCTTTTTCTCGAACAAATGAAGCTAGTCTAATAAAATGGAAAATCACAACAAAGAAAGCATACATAAACTGGATTAATATACAAAAATAACAAGAGTGTATAAGCCTATTGCAGAATAAAAAAATAATCAAGAAAAGCAGTCTCATTTTGAATGAGACTCCAGAATTTTCTACCGAAAATATTGAACTTTAAGCAATGACAAAAGATATGAAATAAAAAGAGTTCTTTTTTTGTTATGTAATTAGAACTTGAGTTAGTTTCTTTTTTCTTCCTTCGCACGCATGCTTGTGACCGAAACGCAGGCATTTTCGATCCAGTGGGACATTAAAGAACGAAGCAATACATTCTTCTTTTTTAATTACTATAAACTACTTTTTTAATGATCTTATTTGTATTTGAATCAATGTTCGATATTTTCAACTATTCGGTATACCGATACCGATGCATACCTAGCTCTAGCCTCTAACTTTGAACTAATATGCCCTCTTTTCCGCTTATTAGAATTGCTTGAATAACCACTATTATTAGTCTTCAACTTTTCAATTATTGGTTGTCACGGAATTCCGTTTTCTGATACTTGGAAAATCCTCTCATTTACCTTGAAATAAGGATAATGGATTGTCAGGTATAATAGATAGTGGATGATTTCCGTAATTCAATATCCATTCAGCAAACTAAAAATAACTACAGATAATCGAATAAATTGAATATCGGCTGGATAAATTTAAAAGAGTTATAGAAGAGAAGAAAACTGATTCGAGGATCTGTGTCGCAATGATCGAGCAAAAATACTCACAATAGAAAAACGCTTGTTCTGTTGTCGAAGCAGACGATTAAAAAAAATTAGAAGTTGAATTTTTTCTGGTCATGTGAGTCGAACAGCACAGAGAAAACAAAAAAAGAATAGTGATCATTTGAGTAAAAAAAGATAACCATTTTTTATGTAAGACGTAGACTGAAACGAGAGATATACTGAACAATTGGAGTACGTAAGAAGTTAATTTTTTTTCCAGAAGTGAATTCACCACTTACTTTTATTGCACGATGTAAATATCTCATATCCTGTGTAACTTTAAATAATGCTAGAAATATATAACCGTTGCCAGCAGTTCCTATAAACGACATAAATCTCGTATTAATTGCTTGAACTTCAATCAATAAAATCAAGTTTTAAACATACCATGACATAAACTGTAACCTTTTCTTAATATACCTCGATGCCAAATAACATTAGTAGCGTTCACAGCTTGTTGTAAATAACTTGTATTGCCTGTTATCTAAAAAAAGAAATGAAACATTTTTAAGTCAGTGATAAACAGTAGTTAATTGTCTGAACACAATTACTTCATAGGCCTTTATGAACAAGTACACAAAACCTGGTGCTCCATGACAAAATTGAACAAGTTTATCTCCTGGATTATTTGTCGATGAACGGTAATTTCCACTAGGTAGTCTTGCGGTTTTTAAGTATTCAATTGTTGGCAACAAATGTGTTCCAATGTACTGCTGAAGATATGAAAATTGTTGAGTAGCCTAGGGAAAAAGCATATGATTGATTTATTCAGCTTTCTTTGTTCTCATGCATATTTACTTTTAGAAGAATATAGAGTATCCCAGAAAGACCTTAATAAAGATACTGTATTTATAAAGAAATCAATGAATTATGATTTTCACTAACCATGAGCAGCTCCTAAATATTCTTCATTGTGCCATTTATACATTAATGGTGATCTTGAACCAATTTGACGTGCATATTCTTCACCAGATTTAATCATATATTTAAATACCTTATGCGAACAAAAAAAGCGATAATTATTTCATTTTTTAAATTCTGCTCCAAATAAGTTACGGTTGAAACAAGCTGAGAGTCTATAATATGTGGTCCAATTTCTTTGCATATAAATATTAATGCATAAAGATAACCAGCGCGACCATATAATAACTCATCAGAATTTTCAGGACTTAATACACTATCTTTCATCGATACAATCCTTGAATGAAGTAAGATAGTCTTTAAACAAGAAATAAACGCTTTAATAATTGTAATTATTAATATGATAATTTTTACACCCACCAATTCCAAACTCAAGAATGTTGCGGCAACGAGATTTCGCTTTACCACGAAAAATGTGGGATTAGATTTTTCAACCGCGCTAGATTCGAACCGGACTTGCCGGTCTGTGTTTTGAAGCTTCCATTAGTACTGCCTCTGGGACTCTGGAGATTCATGTGCACAATTTTTTAGTTCAGTTTCTTTCGTGTATATTTGGGAAAAGTAGCCCTAGTCGAAATATTCCTACTGTGAGTTCTCAAGTTCGCAAAAAGTTTTTGCTTATCTCCAGAGCTGCACTCAAAAGACTTAAATTAACTGCTAGTACACTAAACTTGCACACCTCTTTTGCATATTGAGAATGTGTTGTTTAGCGCGCCAGTACCACACTTGGGTCTATCTTACCACTGAAGATTAGCACGTTGAGAGATTTGCATACTAAGTTTTATATTAACTTGAGTTCAACTAAGTTTATTATTAACTTAATCGCCTTAATTAACTCAATCCCACATTTTACAAAATGACTTTTGTGTGAAAACTTAAAAAATTCTTCCTTTCAAAAATAATCAATGATTAATGGATAATAAAAATGAATAATTAATGGATCGGTTTTGGAAAACATCGTTAGGAAAAGAATAATTTCTACTCGTATTTTGCGGTTATTGTCACCAGATTTTATTTTTTCTATAAAAACAATGTCATATTTGGTATTAGCATCGAAAACTGAGTCGGACAATACGTGTTTCGTTCGGTTTGAATAAATTTCATTTTCCAGAGAAAATTTCAGTTTTCCAAAATTTGAAAGACTCGATCAAACCGATTTTGTCGAAAACTTTTGGAACATATGTAATTCTAATCAGTACATTGTTTTTATAGAAAAGTAAAATCTGATGACAAAACCACAAAATACGAGCAAAAATTGTTCTTTACCTAACGATGTTTTCCAAAACCGATCCATTAATGGTTTTCCACAAGTATAATGGTTATGGTGAAGTAGAAGAAATGATTTCGTTTCTCAGTCTCTAAGACTAGATGCATTTATAAGATAGACAGTGCCGATCGCAAAGGTTTTTCTCATGCTCCAAGAATTTCGGCTAACTAATAAATATAGATTAGACTAAAAACTAAAATGTGGAATTGAGTTTTTCCTAGGCAACCCTTGAGTTCTATCCAGATAATTGTACGATAGTTTTGAATTTCCAATGCCTTACGTTTTCTACTACTGTCTAACGAAACATATATGCTGTTGAAGCTGTTGAACTGTACATTACACAATCTCAAAACTCTTACTACAACGTGCAATATAAGTTATTTTTAAACAAAAATAATCGAGTAATTTAGACAGATTTCTGCGAAAACATTTCGGTGAAAAAACTTCTACATGTAAGCCAGCCTATAGTAAAACTTTCATATTCATATTTTCAGATATGGGTGAAAGCGCGAATTAAGTCAATCATACTAAGAAATATTTTACCTATCAATAAATTTTTGAACTTTATTGTTATTGCCTAGCCGATGATAGATGACAGCTGCAATACATAAAGGACCGGGATCTCCAACTAAGAATGAAATTCTTCTTCCTATTGGCAAAAAAACTAACTTCACATTCTACAATTATGATCTAATTTTGAATATAGCAGATACCATCTAATCGAAGTAAAGCATTATCAACTAATTGTTTAGCTTTTAACATAAAATCCTGTTGTCGTGCAGGAACTAAAGATGCGAGCCTCAGATATAATAAAGCAATACCTATAAAAATATTTTAGTACACAAATTGGATCATCATGAAAGACAATAGAAGAAAAATAGTGGTAACTTATCAGATGTTCCAGTATAAACACTCCCATCAGATAAATTAATATTGTTTAAATTCTGACTTAGTATATTGCTGTAATTTTGAACCCATTTATAAATTTTTAATCCTGTTTGGGACGTCAACTAAAAACATATTTTAAAAGTAAAACGAAAGTCTTTTTACTTAAATTCATCATTAGTCACTTGTTCTTGATTTGACACCAAATAGTTTTCACCATTATAATCATTGAAATGGTTAGGAAAAAATCGATCTGTCATTTACTGCTCATTAAGATCTAAAATTCATTTGCTAAAAACTACAGTATTAACGTCATATAACTAAAGCTATAAATCGCTTTCGATTTTCTAATAATAACTTTTATGAATGTGTATTTTTGTCAAAATATAAATTAGCCAAAAAAAATTATATCTAAACAAACCTCCCACAGAACCCCAATGCCTTGCTATGAAGAGATTATTCTTTTTCGTTGAAGCGGAAAATGAGAATTTTACTTTTGGAAGCTCAAAGTAGCCAGCTTGCGAAACATTTTGTAAAGAGCTGAAAAAACGCTTCTTAGCTTTTATGAAAACTTCGCTCAAAATTGTTTTTTTTGTATGTTAGAGCGCAAAGTCATTATCAATAGTGTATGCTACTGTACCATGTCAGAACAGTATTTGTTATTTTCTTAGAGAGATTTGAAGCCTCATGGACTTCGTTGACTACTAGGTTGAAATCTGTTTTTCGGTGACTACTTTTTATTATAAAAATATTTGATGATTAAAAGCCACTTTATTTTGAAAATCAAAGATATACTCATACCTGAGCTATTATTAAGAAGAAAAATGATCACCTTAAAAAGCATGCAGTCGAATGGTAACTATTCATTCTTTCGCTCGAATAAATTGACCTTATTATTCACGTTTATTGTTTTCGGAAATAGCGAACAATGTTTATTTACTTTTTGTTTGTACCTTCTGACAAATTAGATAGAAAGAAAATAAACGTCACGAATCTGGTCGCTACAGAAGAAACAACAAACAGATAGACAAAAACAATTAATTTACAGATTCTAGTACGTTTTTCCTCAATTTCACCACGAAAGTATGGTTTATCATTTTTAACATTGAATGAATTCGAAAAACATTTGTGATCATTGTCCTCGACCAATGATCTGGAAAATAGCATTGCTCTCGCTTCTAAGTCAGACGTGATAGATCTAAGTATAGGACAGAAAATGTCTTCGTTTAAACAAGTTTGGTTCTATTTACAAAAATAGGATGAACATTTCTTGAACATGCAATCAACGCTATCATGAGAACGATGGATTTGACAAGAACATAGTTTGTACCCAAAAAGATGTTTTCGTTCATTGATAGATACCTGATCAACAGATGTTTCAGAAAACATGCTTAAAGTATCTGTTAGTGTGGAGTCATGACTTCACAACATAGCCCGATCGGAATATATATGCCGATTCGAATCTTGATTATATCCCATCCTTTTTAGTACATGCATGCCAAGGTCCATAGTTGGACACCTGAAAATATGAAATTTCTCTTCATTCTTCAACTCGGATAATGCGGATTAAAACTTGAAAAATTTTCAGTGAATCTCGAATGAACATTATTTAAAAAACGTTATCGTTCTTGCTATTAAGATCCTAATATATTCTTATCCAATCTTGAAAAAGTCTTAGACAGTAAACTTATAATCTTAGTAAGATCTCAGAATAATCTTATTAAGATCTTAGTAAAATTTCGCTTACATTTGTCTAAGATCTTAGAAAAATCTTATCAAATCTTAGAATTTTCGGGTCTCACGATCTTTGTAAGATTTGGTTAAGATCTTAGACAAATGTAAGCGAAATCTTACTAAGATCTTAACAAGATTATTCTGAGATCTTAGTAAGATTTGAGCAAGTTTTTTACCAGGGTAAACTCTATATGCCAATCAGGATAAATATCCTGTTCGGGATATAAGTCATGAGACCGCACTGTCTTTTCATTCAACTTAACAGACAACTTTAGAACGATTTTATAAAATTAATGAGTATCGTTGGTCTTTTTACATAATTACCCCATTCGGGGTAATTATGGTCAGTCAACGTGTACCGTTGGGGTAATTATGGTCAATACAGCAAAAATGGCTGCGATCATCTTAAGTTAACTTAGTTTCAGGGAAATTTTAAGGTAAATAATTAAAAATTATATCATCTTGTAGAGAATTTCAAGCTCTATCACCTGTATGAATTGCATGCTATTTGCGCTTGCCGTTAATTAATTAATTAGAAACTACGAGAGTGCGTGTTTTTCGAAAAAAAGTCACTTGGGGTAATTATGGTCACTCAGCTATTTCTCATGGAGTAATTATGGTCAGCTCATTTGCACGGAAAAGTCAGAGTTTAAATCCCATCGACTTACAGAGACCGATTTTACATCAATGACAAATAGAGAAATTATAGAGGAGATTGTTCTCTATTATATGAAGTGAAAACTGGAACAAGATCGCTTGGTTCTAGCGATTTGTAGTCGTCTGATGAGTTTTGCNTGAGTTTTGCTGAATTTTAGCACATTTTTGTACCTGATTTTTGACAGTCCAATTAAGGTGGTACCTGTAATAATTGTGTAATTAAAAAAGTGTTGAACTTTTCATAGTCTCCAGATACTCTTCTATCTGTTGAGCAAAAGAAAAACTTCAAGACATAAATTTTTACTCGAATTATGTAATATTTGATTCAATGACCTGAAGATGCCGTCATGAAATTCAGATCACTTTTAGCAAAGAATGAAGTGAATTGAAAAAACTTTATTTTAAAAGTCATTGAGGAACATGTTTGATTGTACAAAATATACATGTGTATGAATGTGATGAATCAGGTGTTACACAAGCTCTGCAAATATATCTTATACATGATGAGCACCGTATTAGATGAGAAGACCCCAAAACAATTTACCTCTATTTTCTTGTTTTTGATAGTTTTGAAAGTCAAAAACTGGGTTATTTTTGTCAGAAAATGCACAAAATCTAAGAGATTCGCCTATGTAGGTTCAATTAGCATGTGGACCGTGTTAAAAGGTCTCAAAATAAATACACTAACGTGTTAAATGCACCAAATGGTTGATTATCGTCTCTATATGAGTTTCCTCGGTGTAATATCGCTTTGTTGTTGTTGGTGACTTACAGGATGTAGCGAAGATCAGTTCGATCCTGTTTGACGCACAGAGGATAGCAGGATAGTTCCAGAGCACCTCATTCACAGGATGCTAGATTAGCTCTCGGCTCTAGCAACAAACTGTTCATAGCGTTAGTATTTCTCGGATACACATCCTCTGTAAGTACAAGCGTGATGTTTCATCACATACAGCAAACGTTTCCTTACGGTAAAACCCATAGACGAGCAATACGATATCAGTCTATCTCACGTATATTTTGAGATCCAACTCCATCTCATGGCAAACCAGAATTGAAAAATATAGGTGGATATCGTTAGATCAACAGTTGATGATAACCCTGAAGCGTTCACTTTCCAATTTGATTTTCCAAAATACCTTCTGACTTAACCGTATATGAACAGTTAAAAGAAAATCACAAAAGAAACAGTCAGTGTTTCAGATATTAGTTATTTTAACTGTTATTGAATCTGTTTTTTCTGTTGAACGAACATGTATTGCTGCAGCAGAAAAAGCCTGATATCTTTAGTTTGTTAAGGTATTCTAAAAAAAATGTTTCTTCCGATTTTCAATACCAATTTTTTCCGACTTTTTCCGATTTTAACGGAATTTTTTCCGAACTGCGGATCTTGCACTTGTCAACCCTGTTTTTCTCTATCTATGATTTACATTTGGTAAGAAAGAACAAGAGAAGAAAAAAATACTTGTGGTCATACGAGAATGAGTCAACCTTTGTAGACAGTCCGAAGAACAGTGAAACTGTTGCTTTGTCGATGCCACATAGATCAAGTGGATAAAGAAGAAAAAGATACATCATGTAGAAAAAGAGAAACATCATGTATATTCTACATGATGACGATTTAACAGCTACGTTTATAACTTTAATATTTTCCTTCAACACGAGTAGATATGATTCATAGTAGACGTACAGAAACCGTATCAAGAAAAGAACTCTAACGAAGAGAAAATGCATGAAAAAACAAGCTAGTAGCGCCCGCTGCAACTAGCTAATACAAAATTTAAAATGTTATCAAAATCAAAATAATAAGAACAGAGAAATGTTTTGGTCTTTTTTCCCGTAAGATTATATAGATAATTCTTACCTCATCTCATATGTCAAATAATGATTCAAAAGACCGAGACGTGAGTCATAGTTTTATATATAACTCATACTTGATTGTGTTCCTTTTAAAAAGAATTTACTCACTCACGTTATAATAAATAATTGCATAATGTGTGCAGAACTACAAAAATTAGAAAATACTAATTTTTTCCTTATTTTTAACACGTGTTTCTTATATCTTTCTTTTGCCGTTGTATGCTGTGTTCAATAATCTAATAATATTTATAATCGATTCTGATAAAGTTACCATTAAGCAAAAGAGAAATACAATGGACTACTATCCATTTCAATGAACAATGCAGTTGGTTGTAAGTTGAATAACCCCGGATACGAAGCAGCTAGAGACCTGCGGTTTGCTACACTCGAAAGATATATTCTTCTGAATATTCTTTATTCAGAAACGTCAAAAGCTGATTGGTCAACAATTGACCAATCAGGTGAGTTTTCGCCTGACATATTGGGCACTGCCTGGCGAAGAGATTCCCCGTTGGATTTGAAATTCTAATACAACCATTCGATAGAGAAAATTGTTCTCTATTGATGTACACAAGGCCCAGCTCTTTAGCTTGTGCTGTTCAGGAAATATAAGTAGTTTCCTGAGAGCCCCGATTTCGGCCAGCTGACCTTGGATTACTCCAAAAAACCTCGAAATATTGGTAATTGACCATGCTGAGTCGCGTGGTGATGTTTATTTTCAGTTTCGAAGCGACTGAAATCATTATTATATTCAACTTACAACCGACTGCATTGTTCATGGAAATGGATAGTAGACGCGTAGAAGAGCAAAAGAACTCGTTGCTTCAACTTGTCATGGAAAGTGCAAACAATATCACACACCGTGTACTTACAATGGTTAGAAAGAGGAGTGAATCATTGTTCGAGAAAGTAAGGTACCCAAGCATGGAATTCCATAATAAATAAGCTAGCAGCTCTTAATCTTTTAACACGCTAACACGCTTCAGTACTAGTTGCAGCGAGTATATATACATAGAAGGAAAAAACTGGAAAAAAGAAAACGAGAAAGCGCCTGCAGAAGAATTAACCTTCAAGTTCAATTCACTAACTGAGCAGAACAAAACGAAATACATATTTTTAGTTGCGTTCCTGTGGTACAGTATCGTACGGAAAAGATTATTGGTTTTTGTATACAGAGTTCGAATTTCTGCAGGAGCTTTCTCTTTTTTATTGTTTTTATTGTTTTTCCAGTTTTTTCCTTATATATATATATATACCTGCTGCAACTAGTGGTGAAGCGTGTTAGCAAGTTATTAAACACAGCATACAACTGTAAAAGAAAGATATAAGAAACACCTGTTAAAAATAAGGAAAAAGAAAATTTTTATTTTCTAATTTTTGCAGTTCTGCACACATTATGCAATTATTTATGATAACGTGAGTGAGTAAATTGATTTTAAAAGGAACACAATCAAGTATGAGTTATATATAAAACTGTGACTCACGTCTGGATTTTTTCCATCCTTATTTGTTGACATTTTGAGCGAAAAAACAGAATTTACAGAACGAACAAGTTTTTAAAAGCTGTTTCCAGTTCCGCTCATCCAACAATTACCAGCAGAAATTTTTTAGACATGTATTATAGAATTTTCGCATTGTGTTTTTATTATTCTCGATAACGCTACACATAGTTTAATTTACAGATCGTATATATTCAACTCAATATTTAGCTGTTAACTTCAATCTTGTCTGAGAGACAGTTTTAACCTTAATAGTTGTTTATTTTAGTTGAATAAATAGTTTTTTTGATACAAACTTTAGTTTAAGGTAAATATTTTATAATATGAAAGATTTTTCCACGCATTTCGTCCTAATGTTTAACATATTATCTTTTATCTCCGAAAGTAAGCATTCGATCAGTCTTCACAACTCAAGACTAAACTATCAATTAATTAAAGTTGACAAATTATTTGTTAAGGATAGTAATTTGCTACACATTCTGATCTATCTTCTAGATGTAATAAAAATGCCCTATCACATAGTGATTAGTGGTGCCTCATCTGTAGGCAAATCAACACTTGCTCATGAATTATTAAAAAAATTTTCTTATGATCACAAAAAATATAATCGATTTATACATATTGAAGAAGTTGCTCGTAATGTTATGCAAAATATGCATATTACTCGTCAAGATCTTCAATCCTACATTTGTAATAAAAATCAACAATTATTTGTCAATTTTCAAGATCGAATTATTTATGAACAATTGAAAAAATTTGATGAAAATATTCAACAAAATTATATATCGGATAGATCAGCATTTGATGCTCTCGCCTTTATCGATTCATATTTTAATGAAGAATCTGCTATGAATATATTTAAAAAGAAAGAATTTAATCAACGTATAATTCAACATAGTCAAAAAAGCTATATGTTTCTCGTTTTACCACAACAAACATTACCAGCCACGAATGATAATGTTCGATTAGTATCAACATATGAAGAACAACAACAATTCACTGAATTACTAAAAAAATGGTTTAATTATGCTAAATTACCATATTTTATTATAACAGAACTAGAATTAAAGAAACGAATTGAATTTGTTCGAAATGTAATTAATGGTCATTTTATATATTATCCAGAAATATCATTACCACTCAATCTTCCGTTTCAATTAGAAACACACCATATTCAACATTCACAATCAGTAGTACCACTATTTCATGTAGAGAAAGCTCCCAGCACCGATCAATCATTTATACGTTATATTACAATATTAAATAAAGATGAGATTAAAATATCATATAAATTATATGAGAAAAATCGGTTTATTGAAAAATATGATCATAATTGTAAAAATAACAAATTTATTATATTAGCATTTGAAAAATCTGTAGATAAATTATTGATTGAAAATATTCTTTTGAATGATATTATTATTAATGGTGTCAATTATTATTTTGTTGGATGTAGTAATAGTCAACTAAGAGGAGGTGCATGTTATATTTATCAAGGAACAAGAGAAGAAATTGAACGAATGATATTAGATAATGGTGATTTTGATAAAATAATAAATTTAAGTAAGCGATTAGCAAGAATAGGTTTACTCTTCTCAAGCGGTACACCAACAGTCGAAATTTCACAAGGAAAAGTAGAAGAAATTGATGATGTTGAAAAAAATGGATATTGTTTTACAGATGGGTGTGGAATAATTGGAAAAAGTTTAATGAGAAAAATATTGAGTTCAGTAGGAATAAAAGACGATTATGATAATGAAACTGTTAAAAACAGACCGTGTGCATTACAAATTAGATTTCAAGGTTGCAAAGGTAAGTCGATTGTAAATTTTGTTTGGCATCAACAAAAATCATATCAGTGAAGGGCAACGATTTTAAAATCCAATCTGACGTATTAACTGCAGCTATTTCCGAGTTCATGATTTTCAAATTTTACTGTCCGAACAACATAGATATCGTCTACTGGTGTTAGAATCGCTGCACCTGTTGCCTACGAGATAGACTGGTAAACGAATTTGACTAAAAGAACGAAGAAGATTTTGGTACTTGGTAGGAGCGAGTAGTCAGAAATTCATACGTGATTCATACCACGTGAAGAATTAATTATTGGAACAGATAGTTCGAATGAACCAACTGCTACTCGATGAAATGAAACATCAAAGCGAACAAATGAATACGGGTATTTGTAAACTACACCATCACCCACCAACACCCTCAAACGACCCGAGACCATTCTAGATCGATAGAGCGCGTCAGATAACCCTACATCAACATCCACCAACACCCAGTTGGACCTACACGGAATACTACCACCAACACTCAGATCGACGGGTTTTTGCAACTGCTGACCCTAGTTACATTCGCGCTTTATTCTTGCCGCGATCATGCCGCGGCCGCGAAGTTTGCGCGTTCCGCGAAAAATTGGCGATCGCGCATCGAAAAAGTTTCCGCGTCGCGTTTGCGCTCCAAGTCACGTCGCGTTCGAGGTTGATATTATGTCGGGATCGCGATTAAAAACAAATCGTGCGGTGTTCGCGATTTATATCAGATTGTATCGCGCTCGCGATTCATATAAAATATTTATATGCGTTCATATGAAGTTTCTTCGTTCGAAGAAAAATCTTATAAAAGTATGGTAAGGTAGATTACATAGCAGGAGCACATGCATCTCTAAAAAACATTTTATTAGAGCTTTAGCGTATAACGCATCTTCTTTATCTAACATACGACAAGATGCGCACACTCTAAAAAGAACGTGCGCAGAAAGAAAAGAAAAATTTTTTTATCAAACAAATGGAAAGAGAAGTAAAGACAATTGCTTGTTCTCTTGCCTTTCTGAATGTATCCTTATGTTCCACATACAGATTTCTATATGCGACATTAAAAAGAAGAAGATAAAGCGCTGTACGCTAAAGTTCTATTAGAGTTTTCTCTTTTAGCGTATCTTTATGTTTTTCTTGATGTCGCATGTAGATATGTGTATGTCAGACATGAGGATACATAGAAAAGAAAAAGTGATCTGTATGCGACATCAAGAAAAAGATC